CCCCAAAACCCCAAAACCCCGGCACTTCTAATAAGTTATTAAACACTTATATAATTAGAAATAAATTAAAGTCTAGCAAATATAAATAAAATAAATGAAAATAAAGCGCTAAGTGATAAAGTTCTGTAGTAAAAACGTGGTCTAAGATCCCCAAGTGGAATACACCGTAAATATTTAGAGGCCTTGATAGTTTTCTCCAATTTTATAAAACTATAATGATCAAGAGTACTCAAGAAATATTCATACATTTGGAACTTAAGATAAACTGCTATTTCAATCAAATGACTCTGGAGTATAGATAAAAGAGCCGAAAATTGTCATTGAAAAGAAAAAGATAGTTTATATAGCTAGGAAAGTAGACATTTCTCAAGAAAATATTCAGAATTAAGAATCACCCAAAATCCAAGATGGTAAGATAGGGAGGTATCCTCCGAGTACCAAGGCTTAAAGCAATAATTTACTAATAGATATCAATAATGAATAATTAGCAAATAATAGTGACTTCTCAACAATTACTCCAAAAATTAATATAAATGGTGATTTATTTCAAGTTTTCCCAGCTTCTCCAGTTTCAAATCGCATAAAATCATTTTAAAATTCGAACAAAAAGGTAAAGATTAATCGAAGAATCATAGGATCGATAGACTACATGAAAGAAGGCGAGTAGCATGTTATTCGTAAATAGCTTGAAATTAAGCAGAAAAACTCTCTTTCAGATAGACTCAAAGGAAATATATTCAAAGATTTTTTCAATAAAAAGATTAGAAGCAGCATAATAGATATCACCACATCCAGAAATCAATAGTAAAGTAGGGATCAACTATCTGTTGTTAATAGCAATAACAAAAAGACCAGAGATTCAATTAGAAGTGTTTAGTTTTCCTCAAATTATACTACTAGAGAAGATAGGTCAAGATCAAAATTTGTTAAATTTCCAGATTAAAATGCAAAGGAAATGATAAATAAAATTGAAAAAAGGATAGGGAAGGATTAACTTGAAAATATAAGCTCAGCAAATTTTAACGATACAATTAGATCTAAAGTTACAAATTTTTCCAGAGTTTCATCTGTTGGAAGGCTGTTCCTTGAGCTTTAGCAAGAAAAGGTTTTGCTTAAGCATGAGTAAACTTAAAAAGAATGGTAGAATTAAGCCTTGAAATTAGGAGATAAAGTAAATAAAACTTAAAAGACTACATCAAAAAAATTCTTATAAGCAATTGAGTCTAAGCCAAAATCTATAATGCTAAAAAACTAAGACTTTCCTCTCAAAAATTAAATTGCTAGCTTAAAATGTAAGTAAGTAGATTTAATATCTTAAAATGCTGGGTTTTCTTGGAAAATGTCATTGAGAGAAAGCTAAGGTGAGGAAAAAGAATAGCTTTTTATCCCAATAGGTCCACACTCTGATATCAATTGTAGAATAATAAGATAACCAATCAACAAATACACTAAATTTATGAAGTAAGATCCTTCAAACAACAACTAAATGTAAGATACAGAAGCACATGATTTTAGCTAATCTCTTAGAGGAAGTAAATCAACCTTAAGCATTATAAGAAATACAAGAAACAGCCTTCCAGTTGTGCCTCGAGTATTATAATCTGAATAGGGATTTTACTTCGATACTAGTAAAATCACTGAAAATAATGTTACGTTGGATCGGCATGAGCTCAATCAACTTTAAAACTTAACCATTAATGGAGAAAGTAAATACTAAAAAGAGAAGGAATATTGCATGAAAATACCAAATGGAGAGAGGAGGTTAATGCTTAATCATATATACTGTGAAGATGGAGATGCAGAACCTTTTCATAATGAAGAGATTATATATGAAAATTATGAACCTAAATTTAGCTATTGAAATATTTCAATTAAATTGGATTAAAGAACAATTTTATAGAATTTCATCGTTTTTTATAGGCTGGGGTTTTGGGGTTTTGGGGTTTTGGGG